AAAAATTCATTATAAGTCGATTAGAATTCAGGAGACATTGTCCTATCTAAAATGTTATTAAGGAAGCTTAGGTTTTTACGAAACCCACTGAACCTATGGCAGAGCTAAGCGTTGCAGTGCTAGTAGTAGAAGACGTTGTTGTCGGAACAGGAAGTGACCAGATAGGAGCAGAATGTGACTTTTTTTATCAGCACATCAGTGCTTCAAGATGACAAGGAAGAGGGACAGATGTTGGTCCCTCAGCCCTCAGAGTGCATTTATCAGCTCTGGCTGATGGCACTTAATGCTTTTGTCTAGTTTTGCACCATACGTAGCACGCTTTGTCCTCGTGCAGGCCCAGAACAGCTCCTGTGCACAGCTTTGGTTAGCTTGCATTTTAACTCAAACAGAGAAAATGGGAAAAAGATTTCAGTGGGATTCATAAGGGTGTGTGGGAGAGAGGTTATATTAGAGTCAGGTAACTCAGAGGGAGATGGGAAGATGGGATCACTATAGTCAGGACATTGGGAAGGTGTTTTCTCTGTGCAGGGAAGACATTAGGTCACAGGTGCTGTTCACAGCAGTGCCGCCTGGGGAGGGACTGGATATGGGCGAGTGGGGGATGTTTAACAGCAAGGCCGGCAGGTGGGGGCTGCAGGAGGGGGTGCAAAGTGTTGGTGTTAATGACCTAAGAGGAGTAGGTTTTGATTTGTTTCAAAAAACGAACTGTGCCTTTGTTCATGCTTTGTTATGCTGATTTTTAGGCTTTTATTTGATATCTGTTTTTTCTTTCTAATTATGTACTAGGCTTTGCAAAATTTTGAAAGTAAATGTTTCTTTGATTGTAGAGATCTGAAAATTATCTTCAAATTCTGTTCCAAAGGTTTCCCAGAAATCAGCTTGCTGTAAATTATTACTCTGGACTAGCATTTTGTAAGATTCCTCTAGTCTCACTTCAGTTCACATGAATTTTTAAACTAATGAGTAAGCACTAACTTAACTTCTAACTTTTTTTTTTTAATTCAACTGTTTATTTCGAGAACATTGTGCAGTCATATGCAGTTGTAAGAGTAGCAGAGAGAGTCCTGTGTCCCTTGACTCCGTTTCTCCAATGGTAACAGCTTGCAGAGCTATGGTGCAGCATTGGGGGCAGGATTTTGACATTAACACAGTAGCGTCCGTCTGTCGTTCTTTTATAGCTACACTCCCCTCCCTCTCCCATCCCTGCCCCATCCTCTCCCTTCCCGCACAACCACTAATCTCCTCTCCATCATTTTGTCACTTCAAGAATATCTGTAGTATGTGACCTTTTGGAACTGGCTTTTTTTGCTCACCATAAAAAAAAAAAAATCCCTGGGGATGCCCCCAACTTGTGTGTATCTATACTTTGTTGTGTTTTATTGCTGAGTAGTATTCAGTGGTGGAAAGAAGTACCCGGTTTGTTTAGCTGTTCACCTGTTGAAAAACATCTGGATTGTTTCCAGTTTGGGGCTATTACAGACATAGCTACTCCAGACATTTGTGTGCAGGGCTTTTCATGAACTTGGAAAGTCCCGCTGCTCTGGGATAAGTGCCTGGCAGTGCAGTCGCTGGGTCGC